ATAAGATTTCAAATTTTTATTATTATTTTTGTAAGTAATTTGAGTACAAAAGATTTCAAAAATATTATTACTTTTTAGTTACCGTAAATAGAATTTTTGTATGCAGTGATTTATCAATTTTAAAAATAAAACGGTATTTTTTCATATCTAACTGAGATTAAGACAAAATTATTACCTCACAAGCAATTTTGTAAGCATAACAAATTCACACATAATGCACATTTATATCCATATTTAATTTTGTAAGCAATTTTGTTGTTATAGGTGAAAAAATAGTATTTATCATTACTTAACTTCTAATTAGTTTGTTTTCTACCAGCAATTTATTTTTCTAATGTGGAAGAAGAAACACAACATTTTTAAATATAATGATTATTTTATATGTAATTAAAATACTCCAAGTATCTAATTTGTGATATTAATGTAAATGACTAATTTCAAAATTTTAGATTTATTGTGGAAAACGTAATACCAAATATTGTTGTCTATTTTTAAGTATATTTGTATTAAACATATTTATTGATATATAAATAATTTCAAGAAAATGAAAACATAAATTGTTCAAAAATGGACAATATGTTAGCCTACAATTTTCAAAATTAAAGTGAATTATAAGAAGCTAAAAAGTAGGACAATATTTAGGCATACAATTTTAAAAACTAAACTAGTGTGTATCCCGTGCGATGCACGGGTAAACAATATTAAATAATAACTATAAATTAAAGATGATAGTAAATAATATTAACTAATAATTATAAATTAAATATGAGGGTAAACAATTCTAACTAATAATTATAATTAAGATGTGGAGTTAATATGTGATATAATTTATCGTATATCAGTTGTAAACAATATAAAATTATCTTGTATAAAATAACATAAAAAAATGTATGTTTAAAATATTAAACACCTAAAATATTATATAACGTAATTTCAGTTGTAAACAATATGAAATTATCTTGTATAAAATAGCATAAAAAATATATGTTTAAAATATTAAAAACACCTAAAATATTATATAACGTATTTAAAGTATTTAATATTTTATATATCATTATTGAAAGATGTGAAGTCACCTAAATTTTTTTTAACTATTTTATAAATAAAACATGTCTAAAATTATTTTAAAAAAAATGCCTAAAATATATTATTTAATTTCCAGAAGATGGTGATAAGTATAAGTTTGAATTTTAGAGTCCACGTGAGTATTATTTTTAAGATCCATGTACTATTCAAATTATTAATTATGTTAATTTCATGTGAACTTCATATTGATTTATTAATTTTATTTTATTTCCATACAAAGTTGGTCGTCTCATTTTATTTTACCATATTTTCGTGGAGATTGAACAATGTCGATTGTATTTATAAAAATAATTTGGATATCAACATACAATTTATATGGACTTTTAAAAATCATGTACTACTAAATAACATAAAAAAATGTATGCTTAAAATATTTAAAACACCTAAAATATTATATAATGTATGTAAAGTATCTAAAATTTTATATATCATTATTTACAGATGTGAAGTCACCTAAAATTTTCTAAACTATTTTTTAAATAAAACATGTCTAAAATTATTTTAAAAAAATTTGCCTACAATATATTATTCAATTTCCAGAAGATGATGATAAGTATAAGTTTGAATTTTAGAATCCACGTGAGTATTATTTTTAAGATTCGTGTACTATTCAAATTTTTAATTATGTTAATTTTCTGTGAACTTCATATTGATTTATTGATTTTATTTTATTTCCATACGAACTTGATCGTCTCATCTTGTTTTACCATATTTTCGTGGGGATTTAACAAAGTCGATTGTATTTATAAAATGATTTGGATATCAACACAATTTATAATGGACTTATCAAAATTGTGTACTATTAACAAATAATATATTATCATTAAATACTTTTTTTAAATTCACAATTATTGAGACTGAGAATTTAAAAATTATTTTACCTTTTGAAACCGAGTATAGAAAAAACAATAGATTGGGAAACAAAAAATTGATAAACATTACCAAGTTTATTATCAGACGTTCCAAATACAAAAAAAAAAAAAAATTGTGATGATTAGTGGAAAATGATATTTAAAGAATAGCATTCAATATTTTTTTGAAAGGCACAAATATAAAAGACGATAGACTAAAATTTTTATTACCTTTAGAATTGAGATTTTATAAATATAAAGACTGAGATTTTAATGTTTTTCGTTGTTTCTATGAAAAAGAAATGAAAAACGCACTCTTAATATATCTTAGCTGGGATTTTTAAATAATAAAATGAATTAAAGTTCAAAGTTTAATGCAACATTTAATTTTGTATGATTTTGAAAGATAAAAATAAAAAAATAATAAAAATTTCTGATTATAGGTTGCATTAAATTCTCTCCTATTTTTTTGCTACTATTTTTGTTAAATGGTAATTCTTATTATATATATATAGATTTCATGCAAAAGGATAAACAATTAATTTTAAATTTAATTAAATTAATTTCTTTATAAGTAAGTGAAACAATTTAAACAAAAAGTCAATTTTCTACATGTATATATATATATATATATAATATTGTACATAACCCTCACATTAAGTGAGACCTACAAAAAACAAAAAATCATGTGGATCCATATATGTAAGTGTTATGTACATTCATTATATACTTGTAACATTTTCTTAAATTAAAATAATAAATCTGGATACCAAATAATAATGTTAAACTATTAATACTATTTATGGATAGTGTATGGGTGTGAATGGTGATTTAAATTTACTTTCCGTCATTTCATCTATTTGTTGCATATGATATCATTTATTTTATTTTTTTTTATAAAGTATAAATACCTAAATTTTCAGTCAATT